GAAATATAACGGGTAACCCTTCAAAATAACGCTCTACAGGGTGTCTCAAAAAAAACCAAAATCATTGAAATAACGTATTGTTCGAATTTCAATGCCGTAACACAAAGGATTTTGACAGGGTGATTAATTTGTTTTAAAAAATTAAAATATCTTTGTAAAGTGAACGTTTGTTTGCTCATGGGAATTTAAAAATGCTTCGTAAATTGTAATATGCGTAATATGCATTCGTGGGTTTAGTACTTTATGCATGCCTGACATAACAAGTTTACGCTGAGTATTACCATTCATTATAGCAGTTATGTCAATCTTTTATGCACTCGTGGGATTAACTTAGTGCTAGGGCATTGAATATCGAACAATACGTCAATTTCAATGATTTTGGTTTTTTTTGAGACACCCTGTATACAGGGTGTATCAAAAAAAGCGCAACCTCGGAATTTCCCAAGAAATCGACATTGTTTTAAAGACAAAAGATTTTAGGTGCCTGGGAATTTAAAATAGCACAACTGTCAAAATTACTGCACACGCGAGTGCATAAAGCAAAATTTATGCATTTATTTAATGCACAACAACAGCAATATGATTATTAGCAATTCGATTTCAATTCCCAGGGGCCTAAAATCTTTTATGCTTAAGAATTGCAAAGTGATTTCTTAGGAAATTCCGAGGTTGCGTTTTTATTGATACACCCTGTACAGTGTGCCAATGATACACAAAATCTGTCTCCACCATTTCCAATCACGTGAAAATGGGCAGTATCACGTGTCTGTTCTGGCTGCCCCTACTCGAAAATCGGGGTAGTCAGAACAGTTCAGAACAGTCATGTGACTCTCTTCTGTTCCATTCCATTAGTGTTCCGAAAATCCGGAGTACTCCGAACAGTAAATGGAGCAGCTTGGTGGTCAAACAAAATGTTGCAAAGCTCATGGCTTCAATATAAAAATAAAGATTTTGGGCGAAATAGAAAGAAGCCAGTTTCCAAAACAACTGTTAATTTACAGCGGAGTACCGTAACTGTAATTCCTAGGTCTTCTTATTTGCAGGGCTTTTTCGATATTTTTGCACGGAAATAATAGGAAATACAAATTTATATCATTGTATTATACCGACGTCCATTCCAAACAGTAGGAATTATTTTTCATCTGTAAAGCACCATACGTGACTTATTATTCCAAACATTTACAAGACAGCATTTAACTTGTTATAGCAACTTCTAGTAACTGTCAGAACTAATACTTTTGGCAGGAATTAAAAATACAGCTAATAACGATTTACATTAAATTTATTGTTGTTGCACGGTTGAAGCAATTGGAACGCTCTCTGTGAAAGTGCCAAGGTACGTAATTTGTAACGAAAAGATAAGATGTTTTAAAATCCTTCTGGGAATTTCACATGGTTGCTGTTAAAATAAACATGAAAAATAATTCTGGAGTTTATAATCGATCCAACATCATAATCCTAAGCCTAATATTAATATTACACGTTGTTACAAAGCAGGATAACACATTTTTTCTGAACAAATTCTACCACTTCGGTTTCAACTTGTTGTAGAATTGATTTTAAAATAAATTCTCGGCAATTATGCTAATTATATTTTAATATAATTGGCAATTACAATGCTGATGGTCAATGCCGATATGCTATTACTGTTTTATTACTGTAAACATGCAGTACATGAATAGCGTATCGGCATTGACCATCAGCATTGCCGCTAGCCGCAGTCACATACCTCACATGGACTTGAACTTCTATCGAACAGAGAAATACTGACAATACGCGATATAAGGACAATTTAAGGCCACCTATAAAGTGTCAAGGAATTGGGGAAAGCAAAGACTCGCTTATCAGGCCATAACAAATTGGAACAACTTGGACAGAAAGATAAAACTCTCTAGTAGTATTTCTACATTTAGGAGCAACTTTTTAGCAATCTTTGAACTTTCCCTCGTATAATGTTTAAATATTTTTCATAGTTATGTAGTATTATGCATATGTCTTCCTTGTAAATGTGTTTATTTATTTCAGGACCTTTCTGAAAAGACAAAGCTAATTCCTGAAAATAAAGTGTTATTAATTAGTATATGGAAATCGCCACTTATTCATTGCTTTTGTATGACTGTTTACAATTGTAAGTAAAATTAAAAATAGCAGCTGCATCACATAGACACAATGAAACTAGATTAACGAGACACGTATAAGCGTTGTTCGTTTTCACTTTAATAAAAAATGCAAATCATGCGAAGACCTAAAGCCGTAAAAGATTTCGTTCGGGATTAACTAAAAAGGAAAACTAAAATAAAAGATATGTAAGCAAACTGGTTGCTTAGATCTGTGTCTTCATCAAGAATGGCTTGTTGCCCGACGGAAGAGAACTATGGCTATGAAGATAGTCGTTTTGAGAAAGCTGTCGATGCCCACTTTCATTGCTCTATCTGCTACAATGTTCTGAAGGAACCAATGATGTGTAGAAATAATGAACACATATTTTGGAATGAAAGAGAAAATAGAAAGCCTTGCATCCAAAGAAGATGTAGACGACGTGAAGGGAAATTTCAGATTTCGTCCGCTATCAACCACGCATCGAATATGTTAATGGAAGACATCTTGGTAGGTGGGGGCTGGGACAGTGGTGAAAATGCTTTGAAATCTGTTGAGAGATTTTCGTGGAAGAAGAATGTCTGGAAAAGAGTGTCCTCAATGAACGTTGGTCGTGTAGGAGCAACGTCGTTTGTTTATGAGAATCAATTATTCGTTGCTGGCGGATGTGATAGTCGTGTAATTGAGGTATTAAATTTGGATGAAGATCCGATGCAATGGGGTGAATCTATGGCGAAAGTTCCTTACCATTGTCAATACCTCCGCTCCGTGGTGTATCAGAACCGTGCAGGGTTTTTTTGCGGATGCAACAATAATGATTATTGCGCAGAACTTTGTCTTACCGCACCTTACACATGTAAGCAGTTGTGTAAAATGTCCGATCCGACAAGAATAAATTACACTGTGGTTGCATTTGAGCACAAAGTCTTGGTTTTCGGAGGAAGTACTGCCGATAACAATAGTCTTGATAGTGTGTTAGAGTTTGATGTCAGTACGAAGGAATTTAAAGCAATGCCTTCATTACCATGTGCTTTAGAAAAAGCGGCAGCGGTTCGTTGGGGGGACGAAGCGATATTGATTGGAGGTGCGGATAAAGATGGCCAAACAAACAGAGTTTTTATGTACAATTCAAAAACAGGAAACATCACAGAATTACCACCTATGAAAGAAGAAAGATGTGGCTGCGCTGCCATTATTACAGGCAATACAATTGTCGTGATGGGTGGACGGGGAAAGACGACAGGTCGTGTACGATCTGTTGAAGCTTTCACTTTGGGAGGTTATTCCTGGAGATATCTTCCTGCCATGAATGAAATTAGAAGTCTCCCTATTGCAACTGTTTTACCAACGAAAAACGTTCGCTGACGTTTTAATAATTGTAGTTGTATATTATAAGGCAACATAGAACAAACTGTAGTGTTCATGTAGGGCAATTTGGTGCAAGATTGATGCTCATTGATATAGCAAAACTTGAACTATCAGTGACAAGTTCTAGATTATTATGATTATGAAGATTCTTTAAGATAAAATTATTAATGTTGTATTTGTTGTGTCATACGATTGTTACATTGTAATTTGTAATACAATTGCATATAATATGTAATACAATGTATTACATTGCAATACGATTGTAGTTTTAGAATTCACGATTTTAAAATATGTGGTCCTAAATTATCTGGGGTACACTCTCCAAAAGTTTGGTCGGGGTTAGCCGCCAGGCTATTAAAAGCCTCACTCTATTTCAGACAAAAATATACGATTTTTGGTATCGACTTGGTCACTTAAAATCTATACCCAATTACAGATCTTAGATAATAATACAAAATAAATGTTTCCTAAAGGTGGCCAAACCAGGAAACATTGCGCAGAGTAATAGAATTCGCTCTGCGCTGGATGCGCAAATTTTAGTACCGCGAAATATAATCCGCGCGAAAAGCTATGTTGTGTAAATCGTGTAATATGAGACAACCTCGTTCCCAGGCTCTTCCCTCTTGTGGAGGAAAGAGCATAAGTGCTTTATCAGATATAAAACACTCGAGCTGCGCACTCGTGTTTTATATCTAATTAAGGGGGCTCCCGGCTACAATTTTTGAAATATGAGAGGTTTTCTTGTTAGAAGACAGAAATTGTACCACATATATTGAGCAATCTTCTAAGAGTTGAAAATTGTTTTTTAAAATTCTGATCTACAGAATTTTTTAAACTTGTTCACATCATTCATTTTTCTAAATGAAAACGTTTCACGAAATAAAAAATGGGGGTACCGGCCTTTTTTTCGAGTAAAATGTGTTAAAAGGTTAAATGTCGGCTATATTGAAACGTCATTGTTACCATAGCAACGGTAATGACGTCATTTTTGTGAACAATTTTCAACTCTCAGAAGATTGCTCAAAATATGTGGTGCGTGCTTTAAGTAGTACATATATATCATCGTCTCCCAGCGAGTATATAATAACACAATATACGAGACACAAAAACTATTTGTAATTGTCAATCATAGTTGTTTATATTCGTATGCAATGTAATTATCCTAATTAATCTAAAATTTAATCAAATTGAAATAGTGCTAATAACCTATACGTGGATTTGTTTTAAAAATACCGCATCATGTTCTAGTTAGTACTATCATGCTTCATTGAACATAATCAAAACCAATACATAGCAAAAGTTGCATTCTGTTTGTCTCTGGCATATATTGCCACTAAAACACATCAATGAAAGTTTTTCGTTGGTAAAACAGTTGCAGTGGCGACACTTCTAATGTCGTTCATGGCAGGAAGATATCTCCAGGAATAACCTCCCAAAGTGAAAGCTTCAACAGATCTAACACGACCGGTTGTCTTTCCGCGTCCACCCATCACAACAATTGTATTGCCAGTAATAACCGCACAACATCCAGATCTTTCTTCTAACATAGATGGCAATCCAATTGTGTTGCCCGTTTTGGAATTGTACATATAAACCTTTTTCGATTGGCCATCTTTATCCGAGCCTCCAATCAAAATTGCTTGATCCCCCCAACGAACACCTGCCATACCATATAGAGCACAGGGCAATGGAGGCATTTCTTTAAATTCGTAATTCGTACCAATGTCAAACTGTAACACACTATCAAGAAAATCATCATTGCTAGCACTATATAATCCTCCAAAAATCAAGACTTTGTGCTCAAGTGCAACCACGGTATAATTTTTCCTTGCCGGTTCAGGCATTTTACACAACTGCTTACATGTGTGAGGTGCAGTGAGACAAAGTTCTGCGCAATAATCAGTCGCACCGCATGTACAAAACAGAACTGCCCGGTTCTGGTAAACCACAGAGCTGAGGTATTTACAATGGTAAGGAACTTTGGCCATAGATTCATTACATTGCAGCAGACCTTCGTTCAAATTTAATACCTCAATTACACGACTATCACATCCGCCAGCGACAAATACTTGATTCTCGTAAACAAACGACGTTGCTCCTATTCGACCATCGTTCATTGAGGACACTCTTTCCCAGACATTATTCTTCCACGAAAATCTCTCGACAGATTTTAAAGCATTACCATGAATGTCCTTGCCCCCAGCTACCAAGATGTCTTCCATTAAGGCATTCGCTGCATGATTGACGGCAGATGAAATTTGAATGGTGTTTTCAAGGAAGCGTAATTTCTCAAACATCTGCACCATCAGCGCCTCGATAAACGCCTTTACATCTTCCTTGGATGCGAGGGCTTCTATTTTCTCTTTCATTGCTTCGATATCTTGCTCGATCTTCACACAGTTATGACACTTGACTTGCCTGTACGTGCATACTGCATGTGCTCTCGTGATGAACAATCTCTCGCTTGTTAATTTCCATTCCACATTCCTCGTTTGAGCATTTTACCTGCGCAAAGCCGCAATTCTCGACGTGAGTATCCAGCTCTTCCAGACGAATGTACTCTTGGCAACCTCGGTTAGAATAATCGCACTTTATCTTGAGTTCAGATAAATAATTGGTCAACACACGCGGGGCTTGACGAAGTGTTTCGACAGTCAAGTCCTCGTTACATTCTGGGCAAGTATGCGAGTTCACAGTTAAATGTTCAGTGATACAGCCACGACAAAATATGTGTTCATTATTTCTACACATCACTGGTTCCTTCAGAACATTGCGGCAGATAGAGCAATGAAAGTGGGCATCGACAGTTTTCTCAAAACGATCATCTTTGTAGCCATATTTCTCTTCCGTCGGGCAACAAGCCATTCTAGACTGAAGACACAAATCTAAGCAGTCTATTGGCTTACATATCTTTTATATCAATGTCGGACTCTATTTTGACTTAGTGGAATCTTTCACTGTAGCTTTTCACATTATTTGGACTCCTCATGAAACATAATATAGGTTATCAGACAACGCCTTCGTGTCTTGCTAAGCTAAGTTAGTTTCGTTTTGTGATGAAGGTATTATTTACATAGGATTTCAAAATAGTTTCACAAGTGAGGTCACAACCTCCGCGGATGCCAAAACACAAGAAGCTAGAACCAGCCAGCGATCCGGATTTTGGAAACTCAAAACGGTGAAAATATGGACGACAAATATAGCTGTCAAAAGTTGCAATTAAGCAGTGTAAAATGACAGACAACAAATAGACAGCACACGCATTATATGCGTGCACCTATAAATATACAATATTTCACGGCATGGTCTACTTTTCAGACCCCGTTGAAGATATAAGAAATCCATTGAATAAATAATGTTTATAAGTAAGCCACAACTGACGAGAGATTAGGTCATTGTCATTAATTTGAGTGAAATACCGAAATCATTAATTTGTGTGAAATACCGTAAAAAATCACATTGTCACGTGGTACAAATGATGTTTTTCATTGGACAATTTGAATTTGAGGTATAATATATTATTATATCCCACTCCCTAGAACGCCCGACGTTCTGCTTGTATTTTTCAGGTAGTATATCCCTCTCAATCCGCAGTTTTCCTGTATTCTGGGTGCATCATTTAATTGCCTAAATTTCAGGCTGGTTGCTAACCCGCTGGTTCTTTTGACGTTTGTTAGTTTCGTTTGTTATTTGACGTTTGTCACGAAAAAGAAGTCCAGATGACAAAAATGAATGTATTTTTATACATTTGACTTGTCAGTATTTGTCAGAAGTGTGTTTCTATATTTGTCAGGAGTGTGTTTCATCATATATCAATGGAACGCGTTCCATTGCATGCTCAGCCGTGCATTTTTGTACGATACGTTTTGTTCCATTGTACGGTTTGGTTTAGTCAGGAAATTCCATCCTGAAACGTTCTCTGATCGTAAATTTACGTAATTTACGATCAGAGAACGTTTCAGAAACTTTATTATGAATCCTGGTCGCGCATCTAGCATTTTTAAATTCCATCCGTCAAAATCTTAATCGTATCCTAATCGTAGCTCATGCAACCCAAATCTTCGTAGTGCGGAGGCCGATAGAATTAGATTCGGAATCCTTACCGGCTGATCGGTTTCAGCAAATGTAAAACTATGGATCACGCTATCCTGTTTGGAAAACCATTTGGTAATTGTTTTAGGCCCTGTTTACACTATACCGGATTCGCTGGTCCACGACATCTTCTTTTGCCGTTACGGAGCAATGATTAGTAGCAAATGCTTATTAGTTTGACAGAATTGGCATGTTTATTTGGGTCTCTGAGATTAAAAATCTTCACAGCCTTTCGATACCTACAAAATTTGACCCACTCCGATAGCAAGCCGGTATAGTGTAAACGGGGCCTTATAAAATAACTACAGTGGAACAATGACATTTTGAGAATCCCGCGAATGCATTTTAATTCCTTGTGCAGGATAGCCTGATCCTGCACGGCTATTGACCAATCAAATTGCGTGTTTCACTGTAGTTACAATATTATACTATATACTAGGTTACCCACAGGGCAGTAATGCTGCCTTTGACAGCAAAAGACAAACTACAGGGTGTTGAACGAGTCCTTCAGAAACATCCTATTATTGTTATCCTTGTTAACCCATTTATTGACAGTAGCCTACCACTGACTGAGTATTAAAAATCGTCTGGCGTTGGACAGGGTAAATACTAAAGTAGGGGTCATTACTGTGTTGATGAATTAACAAGAGCCATTGGCAGATAGGTTTGTTAACCCATTTACTGGCAGTACCCTATACCACTGACGAGTAAAATCTTCTGGCGTTGGACAAGGGAAGGGCGCATTGCCAGGTAATGGGTTAAACCACCGTGGTTAAACATAAGATTTCATGATGCTCCAGGAAATGTAAACAAGCTATCAGTGTGACATCCCAGTTTATATATTTATATACTCGGAATATTGATTACTCGGTATATACAAAATTATTTTAAAGTATAACAACCAGCGAAGACGTAAGCCACTAACTACCCTGCGCGGCTGCGCGCAGACTATACAGGGTGTATCAAAAAAAGACTATACAGGGTGTATCAAATCCTCGACTGAAATGTAAATTGCTAAACAAATAATAAACGAAAACGTTAAAGTTTACATTCATTTTAAAGCGTAGCCATTCAGCTTTCTAACAGTGGGTTGTTTCTTAAATTTGACTCATTGGTTCGCGGGTAATAATACTTTACGTTATTGCGATTGGAGATTAAAAAAATTGAGATGGAATAACAAATCGTTCTCATGAAAATAACTGATTTTTTCATTAAAACAAAAAATGTTGCATTTTATTAAATGGATTGTAACAATAAGTATAATTACGGCTTTTCTTCCACTATTTTTAGCTCAGTTTGAAACTTCAAATGCGATATAATTTTGGCTTGGACAATCTAAGCTGACTGACATCAACTTGCTATAATTTCTGTTTACATTACATCGCAATTCGATGACACTCTGGCTCAGACACCAGAATGTTTTGACGATTTTTAGCATTCGTTTAGGATTTTCAAACAACCTGGTCTCTTTTAAAATACTTTTAATTTGTTCTTACGTGGTTTTCCAGATGTAGTGACGACAACTTTAAAGTTTAAAAAAGAAAATTCTAACATTTAAACCGACTAAACAATAACATAGTAAACTTGCATAATTAAACAGCAACTAAAAATGATAGGTTTTACTAAATCTTTTCCTGTGCAATTATTACTAGCATTGGAGACAAGGATAATAGTTTGTTTGAAAGAGAAAAGAACAGGCTTTGAAGTAAACCTAAAAGCGTTTAACTAGAAATAGTATTTCGAAAGTTATTAAGCACAAAAGATGAATTGCGTTTATTTTGATACACCCTGTATAGTGACATATATATGTCATCCGTCCGGTCCGTCCGTCGCCATCCGTCCGTCCGTATCCGCGTTTTATCCTAACCCGTTTTTAAAACACAAAGTTTGCATAATTAAGGCAGTGCGGTTCGTCATGATCAACATTTTCAAAAGCGGCCAATTAGACCAGGGGGTAAAGGGCAATGACAATGACATGCAGGTGACATTTAACATTGCGTCTCACTAATTAAAATTTGCGTGTTTAATAATGTTTATCAAAGAAAGCAAAAATGTATACAAGACAATCTCACATGTGGATTTTTTTCACTTACGTACTGCCTTGTGATGCAGTACAAGTATAAATACAAATGACAAAGCATTTGTAAATCCGAAAACATAATTAAATCATACGGCACATTTAAGATTTTAATATCGTATTTCAGCCGCGTTTATACTGTTTGGCGCATTCGCTGCGTTATATTCATTTATATACACAGAAAAGCATGTCATTGTCCATGCAGACCATAGGCAAAAAGCATTTGTCAACCACATACCAAATTTAAGCAATCGATTCGTTAAATCATATACATGTCATCGAAAGAATATGGAAATAATGTTGAATGAAAGGTAGCATCGCGTATAATATTAAAAGCACCGCATATAGTGCTCGAACCACTGCGTATAATTGCAAAAGCACCGCGTATATAAATGGTGAAAGCACTAGCACCGCGTATAATACTGGAACCACCGCGTATAATGGCGAAAGCACCGTGTATAATGCCGAAAGCACCGCCGTATAATGCTAAAAGCAACCAACAAAATGCCGTTTGACTGACCGCGCTGCCCCACGGTTAAAATTCACTGGTACCGTCATGCAATGCGCCAAATAGAAAATTTTGATTTCGACCCACAAAACAAAATTAGGATCTGCTGCCTTGCTCGCTCGCTTCAGGCTCGCTCGCTGCGGCAGCAATTATACTATAGTTACAATATAGTAATTAGATATTATATATCTCATTGTTTCTAATGCGTTCGGCACATGAAAAGCACGACGTTTGAAACAGGGCTAGCAATGTTGTGCGCATGGGGGGAAATTAGGGGGTTCTATCCTTCCAGAAGTCTCACATGTTCACAAATAATATAAGATAAACGATAAAAATAAAACAATTTTAATAAAATGGTCACTTGTCACAATCGTTTCAATATCACTTGTCACAATATATTTATGTACTATTTAAACCACGCGTAGGAGTGCTTTTAATATCAGATATAAAACACTCGAGCTGCGTACTCGATCGTGTTTTATATCTGATAAAACACTCCTACGCGTGCTTTAAACAGTACTTCAAACACTCATTAATAATTCATAAGCTTATTGGCAAATCATGTCAACCATAATACGTCACGTGCAGTGGCTTTAAACCTGATAAACACTCCTAATTAGTATTCTTTATATAAAGAATACTAATAAGGCAGTATCTATTGTAGTCGTGTCTTCATTAATATTTTTTATATAAAGAATACTAATAAGGCAGCATATCCATTGAATTTGCGCATGCAGTCGTGTTTGAAGCAGTTTAATAAACTCGCAGGTCGTGTTTTATTAGGTCTAAAGCCACTCGCGCTGCGCGCTCGTGGCTTTAAACCTAATAAAACACTCCTGCTCGTTTATTAAACAATACATAAAGCACTATACTTTATATAATAAAAATCCACCATATTCAACCAATGATGACTCTGACCGCGCAAATTAAAATTGTCCATAAAATTGTTCATTTGAACGAGTCAAAATGCCCTTGTTTTTAGAGCCGTCATTTCTTGCACACAAATACATCGGATTAAGCATTGTTTAGCATTCTGTATCGAAAACGATTTTGAAACATTTGGATCAAAATCATAATATCTTCCCGTTACAACTTACATACATCGGTACATTCACACAGAGTGTGTTCCAAGATTTTTTACACGCTGCTTTAACCCGCGCAAAAAGGATAAATTTAGTGTAAAT